TCACCCACCATGGGCTGAGCCCTCCCGCACTGATCACTGATTGAGAAAATGCCGTATAGCTGGATCTCATGGAGGCATTTCCTCAGCTGAGGCTCCTTCCTCTCTGATGACTCCAGCTTGTTTCACGTTGACACACAAAACCAGCCAGTACACCACGCAAAGAAGTGACAAATAGTTTTTAAATTAATCTGATTTATCACATGGTAGAGTTAAAAATTACTCAGTCTAAAAAAAGCTGGTGAATAAGGGCTTAATTTTAGCTAATGATTCTAAAACAAGTACTTATGAAAGGCAACTTTTAATTCCCAAACCGAAAGACGCTTTCACTCTGTCAGACAAGAAGGGAAGTGGCCTGTGAGTAACTGTTCTCTGAGACCACTGTCTCCCTGGAGTGGACAGTTGCTACATGGCCGGCCGCTGCCTCTTTCCTGGGGAGGTTGGCACCGTCTGCAGTGAGGAGTGGCACTGGCAGCCTGTGAACACCTTGGGCCCGGGGGTGGGGTGGGGTGGGGTGATGGCAGGGCACCTGGCACGTGGACTCCACTGTTGATGTGTCCTGGCCCATCCCATCAGAAAAGGGAGGAGACTGGAGACGTGAGGCACCTACCTGCTTGCTGGCGTAGTTTGTGGCCTGAAGCTGGTGGGGCTGGTCTGTAGAGGTGGCCCACTGGGCTCTTCACTCCAGGGTGTCTCTCCCATCTTTCGTCTGAGGAGTGACTGGTCCCAAGTGCCTTAACCCATAAGATGTGGAGGGAGCCACAGTGGAGTCTTCCAAGGCCTCAGCTAATGTGCAAATTCTGTTTTCTCCTGGAGTGCTCCATAACAGAGCCCAGTTGTATTAAACAGCCAGGCATGGGGCAGATACAGGAGGAGGGGGCACAGGGGAGGAGCCATAGCGGGAAAAAGCGGGGAGAGAATGAGCTTTTCTCTTTAGTATACACCTGCTTTGTCCAGCTATCACAGCACTGTTTAGCAGGTGACCCCCTGGGCTCTTGAGTTACTTGTATCTTTTTCCTTTCTTTCCCATACTTATTTTAAAAACTTTATATTTTTAATTAATTAAATTAAATTAAAAAATTTTAAACTAAATATTTTTTAAAATTCAAAAGTACTTTTTAAGAAGGCAGGTGAGGTTTTTTTCCTGTCCCAATTGACACAGATCTGGAGGTTTTCTTATCTGCAAAATTCTGAAACAGCAAGATTAGTATTCAGCTTCTATTTTGTCCTCAAAAGTTCAAGTGTTCTCAAGCACCTGGACTACATGGCAGCATTCTGTCTCAAAAAGCCTAAAAGGAAAAACAAACCTGGGAGATGCAGGTGAGATGTGAGCATGAGGACCGGAGCATGAGGACCGGAGCATGAGGACCGGAGCATGAGGACCGGAGCATGAGGACCGGAGCAGGTTCCAGCACCCGGGTGAGAAGCCCCCGGGTGAGAAGCGCCCGGGTGAGAAGCTGGGAGCAATGCAAAACTGGCAGCGGTGCACACCTGTAACTGCAGGGTGGGGGAGGCACCTGGGAGAGGTGCACACCTGTAACTGCAGGGTGGGGGAGGCACCTGGGAGCGGTGCACACCTGTAACTGCAGGGTGGGGGAGGCACCTGGGAGCGGTGCACATCTGTAACTGTAGGGTGGAGGGGGCACCTGGGAGAGGTGCACATCTGTAACTGCAGGGTGGAGGGGGCACCTGGGAGAGGTGCACACCTGTAACTGCAGGGTGGGGGAGGCACCTGGGAGAACCTCTTGGATCTCATTGGCCAGTTGACTGGTCAGTTAACACTGACCACTGGCACCCACACATAATGTGCGCACATGGACATAGATATACTCACCTCTCCTAAAAGTCCCTAAATTGGGGGCTAATAGTAAAGTGTAGAGACTAATAGTAAAACCTAAGGCAAAGCATGTAAAACTTTTTAATGATTTGTTATTGTTATTATTATTATTATTATTATTATTTACATCCCAGTCGAAGTTTCCCCTTCCTCCTCTCCTCCCAACCCCTCTGCACCTCCCCCTGCACCTCCCCCCATCCACTCCTCCCCCATTTCTATGCAGGAAGGCCCGGCCACCCATGGAAACCTCTTAAGTCACCTTGTGTAACTTCGTTCTTCCAGAGATCAGGGTTCGGACAGCATCCGGTCTATTTTCTGCTGGGCGTTACTCTCTCCTCATTCCGCCAGGGTTTGTCCACTGCAAGTGATGGGCCTCCCAAACTTTCTCAGCAGGTTGTCGTATTCACAGGCTGTGAGTGGTCATCCCGATCTTGGTTACACGCACAATTTTAGCAGTTGGCTTTTATATGAAATCTGAGGTTTTCACAGCTGCTGTCACTGTGGCAGCGGTTGGATTTTGTTGTTGTTGTCTGTTTTGTTTGGTTTTTCAAGACAGGCTTTCCCCTGTGTAACAGCTCTGGCTGTGCTGGAACTCACTCTGTAGACCAGGCTGGCCTCCAGAGATCCACCTGCCTCTGCCTCCCGAGTGCTGGGATTAAAGGTATGCATCACCACCCCCGGCTGTGATTGGACTCTTTTTTTTTTTTTTTTTTTTTTTTTGGTTTTTCGAGACAGGGTTTCTCTGTGTAGCTTTGCGCCTTTCCTGGAACTCACTCTGTAGCCCAGGCTGGCCTCGAACTCACAGAGATCCATCCGCCTGGCTCTGCCTCCCGAGTGCTGGGATTAAAGGCGTGCGCCACCACCGCCCGGCGTGATTGGACTCTTAAAGAATGGTAGCTTTTGTACCCAGGTACCTCGGAGAGTTTGAGAGTGAACAGTGAACAGTCAGTGGGTCAACTCAGATAGACTACGCTGAGGCTGTGTTATGTGCTCAGGTGGGCACTGGCCAGCAGATGGAGGGTTGCTGGTCATCCTTGTGTATGGGGCTATAGAGGCTGCTGTGTTTGGAAGACATCTTGTATCCTGATGGAATTGTGTGCAGATTTTTTGCTCATCCCTAAGGTGTGTGAAATTTATAGGAGTCATTGCATCAGCCTACTTGGACCTTTGGCATCAGATGGCTACTGGGGCATGTCTGACCTCACATTTCTCCTCCTGCTCTGTCTCCCAGTCAATTCCCGTCAGTCATCCACTATGATCTGTATCTTCCCACAGTGAGTCATGTCTCCCTGAGGTGTCCTGTGCATCCCTCCCTGTGGTGACCTGTGTCTCCTTGAGGTGACCTGTCTTTCCCTGAGGTGACCCGTGTCTCCCTGAGATCATATGCTGCCTACCTGAATGTCCCTAGCGTGGGGAGGACATATGGGTGAAGAGACAGGAGTGTGGCAGATGGTGAAAGGATTGCTTCCAACCACAGTTTAAGGCTTTGTGAGTTGGACTCACATCCAGATCAGAGGCAATGCCTTTGCTTTTCTATTTTTGCTAAATCCACGTTTAATAGTTTGACCTGTAAGCACACAGGGTTCTCATATTGAAATCAAAGTGTACTCAGCTGTGCTAAGGGTGCCCTAGTCATCGTGGGTCTTTGGTGCTGATACATTAGCTATCTGTTGCCATCAAGAAAGCTTCATTCTGCTTTATTTTGTATGAGAGCCCCATGGACATAACAATAATCACTGCCCATCTCACTGTACCTGGGATAAGAAGATCCAGGTACGACTTTAGGCATCCCTCAGGGCTGCATTCCCACGAAGGGCTCTGTGTTCTAGGCAGCTCTTCCTGACCTGTGCTTTCACAGGATTTGGGGTCTTGAATACCTCTCCTTCCCAGCTCTAGCTGTCAGTGAGTCTGCAGGAGGAGGCCTTCACTGTGCCCATTACTCAGTTGATATTCCTGCCCAGGAATATGAGCTGGCTGGCCAGCCCGGTTACTGTAAGGCAGCTGTCTCCAGAGTTGCCCGTCGACACAGGTTTTAATTCTAGCCAGATTTCTGGTGAAGGTGGAGGGATATGGAAGGATGGTGGACACTCAACCTGCCTCAAAGCAAGTGCTCTGTCCAGGCAGCTCAACTACCCAAAGGTGCCCGGTTCAAAGCGTAAGCCATAGACATTTATTGTCTCACAGTGTGAGTTGTGGAAGCATAAGGTCAAGTTGCCAGCTGGTGTCTGCTGGAAGTGTTTTGTCTTCTTGCCGCATCCTTATTCTTTCTCCTGTTATCCCTTTGTCGAGAGCAGGAAGAGATTGGCTCCCCAAGTCCCTGGTTACCAATGCTTCCTGTGGTGAAGTGTTTCTCCTTCCGGGTCCCTCCTCCCTCTATGAGAACTCTTCTCCAGGCCTCCTCACTTGTCCCCTACCCACGGTGACCTGTTACACTTAGCAGCAATCTTTAGTTACTCTTTCATCACTTGGAGGGATACCAGAGAGCAGGCACGGTAATCCAGAAATCACCAGTGCATTCCCTCCATCCTGTGGCTGGGCTTGAGCTCCAGCAGGACACCCGCTTCCAACCTTCTCAACCCCCATTTTACAGACTGGAAGTTTGGCAGGGGAGATGAACAAGTGGCAGACAGGGCTGAGTCCCAAGCAGGCAGGGAGAGTGGCCGGGAGTCACCAGACAATTGGTTCAGTGCAGGCACGGACGACGGGATGAGATTCTCCCACGCTTCCAGGCATGGATGGTGACTTCCGACTGTGATTTGGTGGGAGTAAAAAGAGAAAGAATTCCAACCGTTGGGTGGCGAGGTTTGTTAAACGGCAGTTTGGTGCAGATAAGCTTTGGTGGGAGCCACATCTGTTGAAGGAAAAGCTACTTCCAGCCTCTTGATGAACTAGCCACTTATTACTAAATAGCACTTGCAATGATCTCAGGAAATAAGCCAGGGATGGGAACCCATCCAGGAAGGAGATGATACTTGGAATTACAAATGGCGTGTTGCAAACTCTGCAGTTCCTTTCCTGAAGGGTGCCCTTGTGTGGAGCATGGCCTCATGCTCATAGCACGGGACTCTGGGAGCTGAATCCCTGAACAGCCACGGAGGGCACTCCGCTCATCTCACTGCGACTGGCTCTGAACACCTCTTTAATTTTTTTGGTTTTTTTGAGACAGGGTCTCACTGTAGAGTCCCGGATAGACTGGAACTCTCTATGTAGATCACGCGGGGCTCAAATCCAGAGAGATCTGCCTGCTAGAATTAAAGGTATGGCTTTTAAAAACATTTTTTAAAGATCTATTTTATTTTATGTGTATGAGTATTTTGTATGCATGTATGGATGTGTACCATGTGCGTATCTGGCTGGTGTCTGCAGAGGTCATGTTCTGAGAGGGGTACAGATCCCCTGGGACTGCAGTTATAGTTATGAGCCACCATATGGTGCTGGAAACCAAACCTAGGTCCTCTGTAAGAGCAACAAGTGCTCTTAACCACTGAGAAACCTCTCCAGCCCCTGGATGGCTCTTTCAAAATAATTTTAAAAATACGTTTGTGTGTGCATGTGTGCATGCATATGAGCATGTGTGTGCATGTGTGCACACTGCATACATGCATGTACCATAGTATATATGAGGAAGTCGGGAGCTGGTTTTCTTCTTCCAGGGGTCAAACTCAAATCATCAGGCTTGGCAGCCATCTTAACCCATAAAGCCCAAGGAGTTTTAGACTCCCATAATTTCTAAGTCAGGACTCAGGAGTTAGAAGTACACAGTGCACAGGAGAGCATCAGTCTTTGCAGTTTCAGTTACTACACGTGTGTACACATGTACACACTTGTATGGTCGGTCATATTCTCAGGGTGATATGGATGGATACACACATGTGAGCATGTGCACATGTGTGTTTGGGTTTGTGCGTGTACCTCCACATGCCTTTAGAGGCATGTGTGATACTACCTGGGGTTTGAAGGCTTCAGTTAGGTACACACCCACAACTCCCCAAAGAATCGCAAGGAGACTCCAGGGTCAGGATTCCCTCCCCAGGGTAAGCTGCCCAGCCAGCCGCAGCCAGACAGAAGACACACGGACTTTACACGCCCCCCACACCCTCTCTGTGGTGTTCACTCCTTTCTTGGGTATTTCATTCTCTCCTTTTCTTTGTCAGTGGAACTATGCAGTTATGCACAATAGGTCAAAGACTAAGGTTAAGGGGAGGATTGGCTCACGGGCAGACTTGGTTTTCCCAGTTCTTTGTACTACAGTCCCTCACACCTGTGTGTGGGTGTGGCCTTTCCTGAGAGTCCATATGTGCATTACCCTCCCAGCTTTTCTCACACGTGCCACCTGCTGCCTCATTCCTCACACTTTGTATCTGACGTGTGGCATCTTCCTTCCCCACCAAGCAGGGTCCTGATGTCTTCTTGATATAGTAGTTTTTGAATATTGCACATCTGCTTGTTTCATTGGCCATGACAGACCCAAGGATAAGGCTTCCCGTGGGCTTTGCGGCTTTATGGTCTTGGACAGGTTCCTCTGCCTCTCTGCCTACAGCTCTCCTTCCAGGCAAAGAGAGGGCCTTCCAGGTGCTGGGGCAATGAGAGGAGACAGTGGTAACTCAGCTGGAAAGCACAGGTCAGAGGCCCCTGAGGGGACATGGGACTTCAGAGATCTGGGCTTGAAGGGGGCCTGTGGGACTACTTTCCCCAGAGGCCACGTTGCTTTCCAAGAGGCCACCATTCTATTGATACAGGTGGAGAAGGGTGTGTGTGTGTGCACCAGGCAGTTGGTGAAGGGCCAGAAAGGGCATGTGGCATTCTGGAGTTTCAAGACACTCTCCTGAGAAGCTGGGCTTGAAGCAGAGACCATACATTGATCTCTGTGAGTGATCACGTCCAGGAACCCTTGCTATCCCCAGACTCCTAGATATGCCCTTTTCTGAACCACTACCTAATTGGCATGGTTCCCCTGACCCCTGGCACCCCATGTTCCACCAGTCTGCACGGGCCACCTTGAGAGAGCACAGCCTGTGTCTGTAGGCAAGAGCTGGTACTGAGAGGCTGTTGCTGTGGGCAGAGGAGGAGGAACACCAGGGAAGGAGTCTGGCTGAAGTCCCCTGTCAGCTGAGAGTTGAGAATCCCAGCAGGGAACAGTGTTTGTTCTGGAGTTGCCTGCACAGCGACAACATTCTTTTAGTGTAGAGAATGTTAAGATAGCAATGATCAGGGACTCAGGTCCAAGTGTGTAGGCCCTTCTCCTTCCAAGCTTAAACCTACAATTTTCTAGAATCTCACAAGAAGCCCCATAACAAAAGACACTTTCTAGCCCCGCCCAATGCTACCTTTGTGACCAAAGTTTCACCTTATCAGAGTGAGCTTCTCCAAGAAGATCTCCAGAACCACACTATAGCCTCATTAAAACAAAACAAACCCCTGGCAACCCTTGAGATGTAACTTTAGAGCTACCAAAATCGTGCATATGGATACAGTAAAGATGATACAGTGTCTCTCTCTTAAGAAGGCCACCCTCATGCTCATAGAGGTGTCTTATCTTTTCCATGGAGTCTTTTATATTTTAATCCCATGCAATCTCCTTTTCAGGAACTCCAGGTCTGCTTCATGCTGGCTCATCCTGAAGGTCTTTTCTGAGGTGAAGTCAATAACCCCAGCTTCACCCGACTGGAGTGAAGAGAACTCGGGCTGCTGCAGCTGGCTGTGTGGAGCTGTGTCTCTGGCCAGTGTGGTGGGAGAGCTGAGTGCTGTGAGGAGGGAGAAAGGAAGGGTTGGAGAAGGAGCAATGCCCCCCCCCCCCGCAACCCTCCCACACCACTGCAGGTTGTCGGGATGCTGTGGGCTGGTGGCTCAGGGCAGAAGTTGTGAGTGCTGTGACCGTGGGGAGTCATGGAAAATCACTGAGGTACTGAGTCAGGAGCCAGGTTCTCCTCCATATCCTGCCTTTCTTGAGGCCTCTGGAGCCACTCTGGGAGGTACTAGAACATTTCTAAGCTGGCCACAGTTCACAGGCATTCCACTTTCCCTTCCACTGGATTCCCCACCACCCTCCACGGTCAACTCACTGGAGAAACAGACTAGCTGGGGTTAAGGCTTCATGCTTCTCAGGCCAGGTTGTGGCAGGCTATGGGGACATGCACTCAGACCAATGGTAGGGGCAATGGAGAATGTGGTGGGAAGAGTCTGGATACAGTGCAGTCTTGGGGCCTCACCAACCCACAGGAAGCTCAGCACTGGACAGCTCTGCCAGGTGGCCCACAGGAGGACAGTAAGAAGGACCGGTACCCCATACATACCAATCATGGGTTCGGGCTGCCCCCAAGGGGTGTCACTTTGGATCAGAGGTACTAACTACCATGGCTAGTGACCAGAGGCTCAGCCACAGTGGTTTTTTTTTTTTTTTTTTTTTTTAAATTTTAAGGCCAATGCAGGAACCTGTGACTTCTGACTGCTGTTACATGCACCCAACTTTATCAAGGAACCCCCAATCCTGGGGAACCCTCAATCCTGGGGAACCTCCAATCCTGGGGAACACCCAATTCTGGGGCCAAACAAGTGGCAGGCAGGCTTTCAAACATTCTAAACCAAAACATTTTTGTTTTTTTGAGATAGGGTTTCACGTCCAGGTTGGCTTTGAATTCCTAATTGTACCTCTACATCCCAAGTGCTGGGACAGGAGGCATGGATCACCATGCCTGCAAACCACAGCAGCAAACCAGATGTTGCAAACAGCTCCCTTCAGTGTGAGACAGGGATGGCCTTGACATCTTACTAGGGGGTGGAAGTGGGAGACAGATGACGGTGGTGGGGTGGAGAGAAAGGGCAGAAACAGCAGGGTTTAAAGACTTCTGTTTAAAATGAAGCAGAAGAACTAGAGAGGTAGCATGGCCTGGCTGTGAAGGTCTATCAGGGAGATGGGAGTGATAGACAGCTTGCTCCTGCATTGTTTCCTTGGATCCTGGTTCCCACCCGCTGGGCTCTCTTTGAGGCCCAGCCTTTCCTCAGTGGCAGAAGCAATGGCCATTCTATCCTCTGAGGCTTCCACTTCCTTCCATACCCCAGTGCCTGTGATGGCTGCCTCCTAGGAGCAACCCTCCAGTAAATCTTCTGAGATTAGCTGTCAACCATCACTTCCCTAAACCAGCAGCTGCCACCGGCATTGACAACATGAGGAGTGCCTGGCTCAGCACCCAGGCCCCAGCACAGCTGAGACTGGAGAAAGGCGCAGAAGGTCTCCATCTCAGCCTGTCCCTTCACTCCAGGGAACACGTCCCTATGTGGACTTGAAAGGTGCATGTTCCTGGCCCATCCGTGGCCCAGCTGTGACAGGATTACGTGTCCCCAAGATCATCCCAGGAAGAGAGCAGAGGCCAGAATGTGGGGAAATTGCCACATGTCCAGAGAAACCTCTGTAGCATTTTTATCAACACATTCAACTAAAAACAAATGACACAAACCATCTGGTTTGTTTAATAAATGGAGCAGCATAAATAACTAAGACCAACCTCTAAACAAACACCAAGGTAATGAAAGCCAGTCATTGTTCAGGAGCAAAGGTGTAATCAAATTCTAATTTTCTATTCCAATAAACATCTTTGAATTAGTGCCTATTCCACTAATTATGAAGAGTTTTTTTTATTAGTGTTCTACTTGATTAATAAAGCACAAAACACAGATTACCTATAATATTACTCTCGGTTCCCATGGGGAGTATTGGGTGGCTTCTGCATGTGTTTAAATGCAAGAGAAGGCATGAGAACAAGAAGATGGGGGAGAGGGAGGGGAGCACAAGTCAGCTTTTTAAAATTTGAAAGAGAGCAAGGAGGAGGGTCTATGGAAGAGCTTGGAGAGTGGAAGGAAAGAGAAGGAGGAAATGGTGTGATTATTTGTAATCTCAAAAACAAAAGACATAGTAAAAAATTTTAAAAAGCATTAAATTTGTAAGACAAAAGCGAAGCCTCCTAGCACAGCGCCTCAGTGCCAAGGTGCTGTCTGGACAGAACATTTCCGGTCAGCTTAAGCCTTGAGTTTCAGGAGGGAACTCCCTAACCTATATCCTAGCAGTGGCTATATCCTAGCGACTTGCGGAGGGTTGAAGAAGAGTGTTGTGAACTGCAGCATTTGCTGACAATCTCCAGAAAGATGCTCTGCCCAGCAGCAGGGGCTTGTGCGAGCAACAGAAACTGGTTTAGGGAGGGCGGGGCCCCTAAAGCATCAGTTCTGAAATGTTCTTGATGGAGGCCAGAGCAGAGTTGTGTTTTCTGTCTCTGCCGGCTCCTAAGTGAGCACCTCCTTCTTTCCTGAGCTCCCACCTACGACTCTATAACAAGCCTCTCATTAAGACTCTCCCTCTGTTGTCCGTGAAGTCTTCGAATTTGAGAGACAAGAACTTGTAAGCCACTGGTTCAGAGTTTGGTTTGGTGGTTCCTGGGACCCTAGCTCCCTAAGAAAGTTTCTGCCTTTCTCAAAGACACCCCAATACTCTCATATCTTGAGCAACCAGGCCCCAGAGTCCTGATGTCATGGGGCAAACACAGGGAGAGACGGCTCTGCCTTCAGTGGGGCTGTAGCTGCTGCCCAGGCCTGGGAGTGGTATTGGGCATCCAGAGGTTGAAAAGCTTCTCCCAGGCAAGTTGCAGGGCTGAAAGTAAACCTGCCCAGTGTCAGTTTGCAGCTTCTGGTGTGGACGGAGCAGTGGGAGCAGAGTTAAGTGTGAGCCTGTAGGGGCCAGGTTCAGAGCTTACTGAACCACATTCACAAGGCTCAGAACGTGCAGGTCGACATCTTTTTTTTTTTTCCCCCCAAGACAGGGTTTCTCTGTGTAGTTTTGGTGCCTGTCCTGGATCTCGCTCAGAAAGAATCATTTAAGCCCTGCCTCTGCAGTGATGCTCCACATGTAATGTCATCAATAAGATGGTTGGCTTTTGCTCTTGTCCATCTGGAAAAACCAGAGCCCCAAGAATTAGGAGTAGGGCAGAGGTATTCCTCAGAGGGCAGCATAGGAGCTTCATTGTTAAGGAAGTTCATGTCTGGTGTCTCAGCCTTAACCCACCACAAGAACACCATTGCTAATTACTTTGGCTACTGACTGTCATTTTTGTAGCTAGCCATACTGTGCCCCATGGTGGAAAAGCCTCTCTCACCTTTCCTAACCCTGGGCTTCAAAAGGCCACAGAACATCATTTACATTGTATATCTGGTCACTAGGCCAGTAGACACCATGTATGGGACATGTTGCTTTTGTGTCGCTGATTGTCTAGACTACTATGTGTGGTAGAAAAGACATGTGGTATCTTTCCCAATGAACACATAAAGAAATTGAGGACCTGTGCTTTGGGTTGGAACTCATCCCTCATCATGATGAGTAGGCTTTGTTCAGATTGTGTCTTGCTGCCCACCTTGCCTCCTCGGTGCATAAACACTGAGCCTGTTTATGAGGGAGCTGTGCCTTACCCAGTTGCAGACAGCTGTCCAAGGACACAGAGCACCATAGTGACCAGGTGCTCATGTGGTGAACATCAGGAGCCCTCAGTGGGTATCTGTGGTGGTTTGAAGGAAAATTGTTCCCAAAGGGAGTGGCACTACTAGGAGCTATGACTTTGTTGGAGTGGGTATGACATTGTTGGAGGAAGTGTGTCACTGTGGGGGTAGGCTTTGGGGTTCCCCATGCTCAAGCTATGACCAGTGAGACAGTTCACTTCCTGCTGCTTGTAGATCAAGATGTAGGAATCTCACAGCCCCTTCTCCAGTGCTATGTCTGCCTGCATACTATCATGTCCTACCATGATGATAATGGGCTAAACCTCTAAACTGTAAGCCACTCCAATTAAATGTTTTCTTTAGAATAGTTGTCATGGTCATGATGTCTGTTCATAGCAATAGAAACCCTAACTAAGACAGAAGTTGGTACCAGGAACTAGGGTATTACTGTGATAGGCCTGACCATGGTTTTTTTTTTTTTTTTTTTTTTTTGAAGGAATATGGATCTTGGGCCTGTGGATTAGAAAAGCAGTTGAACACTTTAAGTGCTGCTTAATGGGCTATCATAGTAGGAACATGGAAGGCAGTGGTGCTGAGTGTGACTTGATGAACTGTGGGGCCCTGGCTCAAGAGGTTTCAGAGGAGAAGAATTTTATTATGTTGCCTAGAGATCATTCTTGTGATAGTTTGAAAAGTATGTGACTGCTTTTTGTCTTTGTCCAAAAAGTCTGCCTGTGGCTAAATTGAAGAGTTTCAGATTAATTCCACTGGCAGAAGAAATCTCAAAACAGTACTACTCTGTCATATGGTACTAATTCAAATGAAGATTTATAATGAAAAGAAGCAAGCTTAGTAAGGAAAAATATAAAATGTACAATTTGAGGAGAAAAGGAGCACCAGAAAGTAGAATGGAGCTAAGTCCTGTGTTCAGGGAGATAAAAAGATTACAAAATGGAATAAGGGGAATGGTGACCTCAGGGCAAGATCCCACCCAGCTAAGTTTCGAATTGTGAAAAGGAATTAAAGAAAAGCTTAGAGCCAGGTGTGGTGGTGTATTCCTTTAATCCCAGCACCCCAGAGGCAGAAGCCGGCAGATCTTTGAGTTTGAGGCCACTTGGTCCACAGAGCAAGTTCAAGGACAGTCAGGCTTAGTCAGAGAAGAAAACCATGGAAAACAGAAAGTTGGTGAAGATGTAACTGAATGAGGGGGCCATGTTCCAGACACAACAAGCAGTAGAACTTGGCAGCTTTGGCCACGTGCTTCTGACTTTAGAGTCAAAGAGTGACTAAGGAAAGCCACTGAGGACAGGCATGTGTCAGGGGTACCCCTGAATGGAGGCCTAGAGATGCTGTTGCATGAAGCTGTGAAGGTGAAGCCTGATTTCCTCAGAGATTCCAAGATATTGGAGATACCAGAGCCATGGGATACCTGCCAAGGAGAGCTGCTAACAGGGAGTGGAACTAGCCCAACAGAGGGAAGTGTTTTACAGACAACAAAGCTGAAAGAAGTTAGAGATCTGAAGAACATGTTTACATCAGACATGGAGATGCAGGGTTTGGAGTTTGCCCAGCTTGTTTTCAGTCTTGCTTTGGTCCAATATTTCCTCACTATGCTCCCTTCTCTATGTTTTGAATGGTAATATATATCCTGTGCCATTATATGTTGGAAGTATGTGATCTGCTTCTTGATTTTGATTTTGCAGGGGATTACAGTTAAGAGACTGCACAAATCTTGGAAGAGACTTTGAACTTTAGACTTTTAAAGTAAGCTTGAGACTGCTATAGATTAAGGGGACTTTTGAAGTTGGACTGAATGCATTTTTATTAAAAGACCTTTTTAATATTTGTACAACACCTGGCATCCAACTTTTGGGGCATGAGTTCATGAAAAAGCTGCTTGCCTGTGACTTAAGCTGGAGCTACAAGTGGCCAGAATCTCTACACCACCTGGGCTAGAGTACCCACCTTGCCAGTTAAGGATTTTTGCAGCCTCTCTGCAGCAAACTCCATAGGTTTTGGGGCTTCAAAAACTGCAGGAGCTAGCCACTTTTGCACATTTTCCCTGTGCAGATGGCTGGATCTTTCACTTCTTTCCTCTCCCAGTGGGTTTTGGCTTTCTCTGGGCCCCCTCCTTGGGCTGCCACAGACAACATCTGAATTGATGTTGTCAGCAAATTTGGTGAGTCAATTGGGATTTCTTAAAGGGAGGAATTAGTTAAAGGAAAGTTCTTTTCCTCACATTAAAGTTGAGAAACATTTTTACAATGGAGGGAGTTTGGTCTCTGTTTGATAACATGATTGATGGTCTAAAAGTGGAATGAGAGGATAATTAATGTAGATGGAATTTATGTAATATCAATTATAAATATTACTTGTTTGATCCTCTCTATTTTATCATTAAAAAATTTGGGTAACATGAGTGCCAAAATAAAAGTTTTAGAGAAATCTGTTAAAACAGATCATAGAGATATTTAGAGGAATTTAAAGGTGAACCAATCTCAGCATTGCATTATAAGGTTACAGAGAAACAACCTAGGGGTTTCAAACAGCCAACCTTAATCTATCCAGTAACCTACAGGAACTGCCAAATGATAGATATCCCCAACACTGTGTAAGAGCTGACTGGACTCCTGTGCAATTGCTAGATTTGTGGATATTCAAAGAAGCAATAGTCTCATATGGTCTCACACTCACCTTTCATGAAGCAGATGATAAACTCATGGTCAACTTGTAAAAGAATTATCCCTCAGGACTGGAGAGATTTGGTTACAGCAGATTTTGTTACAGCAGTCCTAGAGGCTGGTCCCGAATTACAATGGAGGACCTGGTGGAAGGATGAAGCTAAAACCATTGAACAATGACGTAGGGCTAGAGGTATTGAAATCTCCCAAAATCAAATTCTTAGAGAGGGAGATAATGCTAATATACAAAGACAACCTTTATATGATGACCATACCCTGGCTTTATGCCAAATGGCAGCCTTGAATGCTTGGAACAGAATTGAAGAAGTAAGAAATAAAATTGAGTCATTTACTAAAGTTATGCTGGGCCCAAAAGAAAACTTCACTGATTTCTTAAAGAGACTAACTTCAGCAGTAAATAGAATTATACCAAATTCAGAAGTTAGGCAGATATGAATTGAGACTCTGGCTTTTGAAAATGCTAATGCACAGGGGGTAATTACGCCATTAAAGGCAAGATCAGCACCCTTGGAGGAATGGATCTGAAATACAATTAATATTGAATCTCATGACCATGATGATGCTTGGATAGGAGAGGTGATTTCCAGAGGTTTGAAAAAAATAGTAATGCCAAATGTTTCAATTGTGGTAAACAAGGTCACCTAAAAATGGACTATAAGCAGGGCATTCCTAGAAACAATGTTTTTGCTAAAAAAAATAATCTCAATAGAAAACCCTTACGTTCTGGATTATGCAGAAGGTGCAGTAAGGCAGACATTGGACTAACAAATGTAGATCAACAAGGGACAGACAAGGTAATCCCTTGCCTTTGCTGTCAGGAAACTCCCTGAGGGGCCTCTTGCAGGCCCCCATGTCAAATTCCATTCAGTCCTTTCCTGTCATCATGGAAGAAACTCCTTCCAGAGCAATTGAAGAACCTAAGGCTTATTGTAAAAAAAACATACTGCTCTGGATGATAGAACAGCTTTAGAAAATAAAACAAAAATTTAAGGAGAAACCATTAATCAAAATTGATAAAGATTAGATTTGGAAACTCCCCAAAGTTAGGGTTGGGGAAGAGTTTTGTTTTTTTCTTTCAGGAGAATGAAAGCTAAGGAATCTGAAGAACACTGGACAAATTAGACATCTGAAGAAAAAGGACAAATCATCCAGAAAAAAATGTCCTATGAAAAAGATTTTGAAGTTCTAAAAAGATGATGGGACCCCACAATGATGATTCCATTGGAACAATGATAACACCATTAAGCTGACAAACACCACCCAAAGATCAGCTTTGGTCTACAAACTGCTCACGACAATATTGAGATGACTAGCTGAGATGATCCAGCCTCACAGACTACTCCAGTCAGGACTTGACCATAATCCTACATTTTCTTTGTGTCCCCATAAGACTACCAGAGCCCCCAGTCAGCAGGAAGTAGCCTAGAAAACTATAGCCACATTCCCCAAGAATGGATTATGGATGTTTGTCTTTGTTTAGGGGTTGGTTAAATATTGTTATTGGTCAGTCAATCTCTTTCAAAAAGAAGAAAGGGGGACATGATATAGAAATGAGTTATATAGAAATGATAGGATAAAAGAGTACATTATTGAATCTACCCTGAAAAGAAAAAGGAAGAATATAGATCTAAGATAAAAAGATAGATTACTGAATCTACTTTTAAAAAGCAACTACTAATTTTAAATATTTACATTGAATTAGATTTTTGTATACTGTATATAAATTGTTTATATTGATAAAAATTTGAGATTATTTTTGTTAGAATATATTGTACATATATTTCTACTCTTGTTCAAGGTATTGTACCTATACCGCTCATTTAACAATGTAATGTAAATTGCTAGTCCTTGAAAGTTATTATTACCAACTAATTAGGATACAAAGAACTGAAAGTTGGTAGTTAGTTATTATAATCAAACGTGTAGTCATATTAGGTATATTTCAAGGTCAAACAGAAAAGTATTTTAGGTAGACAGGTCATCTTCAAACATTTCAGAGTTCTGCAAAATATGGCATTTAAGATGTTTTAATAACATAGATTCTTTTTTTATGACTATGAGACATGTCTGCTCCTGGCAGCACCAATCTACTTCAGAGAAGATGATGGCCATTGAAGAAACTCCATATGAAGTTTGCTTTCTTTATGGCAAAAGTTTGCCACTCGGCAAGAAAGTACTCTTGCCTTGACTGCTGACAGTATGCTGTCCAAAATGGACAAGCAGGACACAAAAGAAAGGACTGCCGATCTTTGCCAAGACAAAGTAGGACAGCCCTTTGGAAAATCCTGCCTCACAGACGAGTCTGTCAGATGTGCCAGACCTGTAGGCCAAAGATGGATGCTGCAACATTGCAGAGAAATCTTGGGTGACTGTCCAGGCACTCAATTGTTTCTGCCATTTCTCACTTTTTTTTTTTTGGAAGTTGCTTGTTTGCACTTCCTGCTTACTTAGTTAATATTATTTCTTTCTCCAGTCTCTGAAGGAGTTGAAAACTAGATAGCTATAGTTTTTCTTGTTAACAAATTCAGAAAAGAAACTCACTAAAGAGGTGTAAAGTGTATAAGTTTGAAAGACATCAAAAGATAATTTCGGGTTGGTAATACAAGTGGTCATATAAGTAAGGATAGAAGGTGAATTAGGTGCAACATTTTGGACTCACCAAAACAGGATAGATAATGGAGTATTTTCTCTGAATTTGTCAAATGTTTATGGACTGGACATTGTTAATGTAATTATTGATTGTATATATTGTATATACTTATTGTATATAGTTTTTCTTATATTAGTTATAACCTTCTTTTGTTATTTCAGACAAAAAGAGGAAATGTGGTGATATATCGTGTACCCTAATAAAATTTTCCTGAAGGTCAGAGAACAAAACAAGCCTCTAGATTAAACACAGAGGCCAGGCAGGGGTGGCACACACCTTTAATCTCAGCACTCGGGAGGCAGAGCTCCATCTGGATCTCTGTGAGTTCAAAGTTACCCTGGACTACATGAGATTGACTCAGTCTAGGAGAGAAACAGAGCCAGGCAGTGGTAGCACACACCTTTAATCCTAGCACTAAGAAGGAAGTAATATGGCTGGGTGGAGAAAGGTATATAAGGCGTGAGGAGACAGGAACTAAAGCTTTTTTGGCTGGAGCCTTTTCAGGCTGTGGAGTCCTAGAGGTAAGATATGGCAATGGCTTGTTCCTTTGTCTCTCTGAATTTTCAGTATTTACCCCAATATCTGGTTCTGGGTTTTTTATTAAAAGACCATTTAGATTTTGTGTTAAATTTTTTTTTTTTTATTATGATATGGCTACAAGCCTTTAAGGGCCAGGGAGTAAAATGCTGTGGTTTGAAAGAAAATGACCCCCAAAGGAGTGCCACTATTAGGAGCTGCTGCTTTGTTGGAGTGGTTATGACATTGTTGGAGGAAGTGTGTCACTGTGGGGGTAGGCTTTTGTGGTCCCCTATGCTCAAGCTATGACCAGTAAAGCAGTTCACTTCCCATTGCCTTTCGATCAAGATATAGGAACCTCAGCTCCTTCTCCAGAACCATCTCTGCCTGCACATGACCTTGTCCTGTCACTGTGATAATGGACTAAACCCTGAACAGTAAGCCACCCCAATTAAATGTTTTCCTTTTTAAGAGTTGCTATGGTCGTGATGCCTCTTCACAGCAACAGATACCCTAAGAGTATCTGTGTTCGGCTTACTGCAAGCCAGCAGATGGCACAAGCTCTGTATGTTTCCAGAGCTGGCTATAAAATGCCCACGGGGACACTGTGCCTGAAGCTGTTTCCGTAACTCCTGAGCTTGGGTCCAGCTTGTGGGACTCAGTGCTGACACTGCTCCCACACGGGCTTGACTTCCTTCTGATGACTTCTTGCTTCCTGTGGAGGTTGGCTAATAATTAAACACTGTCCAGCTTTCCTCAATAGCCTCAGCAGGAGTGGAGTCTTGATAAGACATTTTGGTTTTCCTCACTGCCCTTCTCTGAAGCTAAAGCTTTGTTTAAGTTGCTACCCACCAGACGGCAGCCTCTGTGACAATGACCTGATTAACAATCTGTGGTGGTTTGATTGAGAATGGCCCCTATAGACTCATATGTTTGAATACTTTGTCTCTAATTGGTGGAACTGTTTGGAAAGGATTAGGAGGTGTGGCTTTGCTGGTGGAGGTATGTCACTGGAGGCAGCTTTGAGGTTTCAAAGGATTCCTGGTATACCTTCTCTGCCTCCTGCTTGTGGATAAAAATGTGAGCTCTCAGCTGTTCCTGCCACCATGCCATTGTGGTCTCTAATTCTTTGAGATCAAAAGTCCAATTAAATACTTTCTTTTATAAGTTGCCTTGGTCATGGTGTATAGCAGGTCTTTCTTTGGATGCCAGCTCCCAAATAATGATACAGAGACTTTCTATTAATTATAAAAGCTTGGCCTTAGCTTAGTCTTGTTCCCAACTAGCTCTTAAAACTTAAATTAACTTATTTATAGTCATCTATGTTCTGCCATGTGGCTTGTTACCTCTCTTCCATACTGTCTTTCCAACTTCCTCCGTGTCTGGCTAGTGAATCTCCTGCACCTCAGATTCTTCCCCAGAGTTCCTATTTCTACCTGGAAGTCCCACCTATCCTCTCCTGCCTAGCTATTGACTATTCAGCTCTTTATTAAACCAATTAGCAGGTATCTTAGGCAGGTGAGGAAGGACAGAAACATATCCACACAGTGTACAAAAAGATGATCCCAACAATGGTGTTTTGTCACAGCAATAGAAACATAACTAAGACACAGTTTATGATACTGTAAAAGCTGAACTGCTGGGATGTAGTGATGCAAAATCAGGGTGAGGAGTCCAAGAGGGACATGTGGACCAGAGTGGGCTGCAAGGCAGGTGCAATGGAGGCTTAAGAAATGAACACCAGGCTTCTTATGTTGGTGGGCTCTGTTCAGGGATGATCTGACTTTGACTGAACTAACTCATTTAACATTCATTTTTCCCTATTTTAGGCTAAAATAGTCATGAAATAGATGAAAAGAAACAGAGAATAAAGTGCCAAATTAAGAAAGAAGCTGCCTTCATGTGGCTTCGTGAAGAAGAGCATTCAACGTAAGAAAGAACAGACTCTATTCCAAAGAGTGAAAGAGCATGAGACTCACAAGATGTATAGAAAAAACAGGCAATGCATAAAAAGAAAAAGTGGCGTCCAGCTCTCCCCTCTTAGCAGAGGGAAGGACAGCAGAAACCTCATCCAGAAGAGCAGCAGTGGCCATGAGGAGAAGGGATTGGCAGTACCACCCTCAGGACAAGCATGGGAGTCTTGCAAACCTCAGATCCATGGTCTTGGTGAGACAACAATCCCTAGTAAGAAGGGCCAGTAGTGGAGAGGAGGAATTTTCATTCTCCTCAACTCAGAAAAAACCCTCCTTCAAAAATGTGTCATTCCAGAGGGCCTAAGAACAGGGAAGAGCTACTTCAGGGAGCCTGAAATCCACCTGACCCAACCCTAAGGTGAAAGACAGTTACAGGAGGCAGCTGTGGAGATCCAGGACCAAATGCTGGCACACCGAAAGACACAGGTGCAGGAGACGTGGCTGATGGAGTGAAGTGCACTCACAGGGAAAGCTTGCTCCATCCTTAGTGTCTGGAAGCAGATCTCATCAACAGAATAGGGCCGATAGCCCCAGGATTGAGAACAGCACTCTGGAGCCACTAGTGCATTCTGAGACTCATTGCCTTAGAAAGTGGGAACTCTGAAGCACCTGCAGGCTACTCTTTCTCTCTTAGCAGGCGTCCCTGGAAACCTCTCTCCTTCCACACCACCCCAACTAAAAAACCCACACTATGCTCCTCCCTGCTACTTCCTGTCAACTGATTGCTAACCCTGCCTCTCCGAGCCCAGGTTAATGTTATTAACACAAATGCAACACATCTTTACATAACTAAACAAATGCAGCATCAACAAATGTAACACATCTTTGCCTAGATATCCATGCCCTCATCCCTCTGCAGGGTGTGTAACACTAGCAGGGTATAAGAGGGTGGAGACAGCTCTCAGTGCTGTGGCTGCTTTCCCCTCTGAATTTCCCTGGGAGACACCCCTTAGCTTAGAACATTAGCCATCACAGGTGGTATGAACTGGGGAGTTTCAGGGGGGTGGTAAAACTTCCAAGTCCGCAGACTGAAAAGCTAAGTGTGGCCAGTAGGGGCCTCTGGTGTAAAAGAAGGGCAACAACTACTGTGAAGACAGCTGTGGCGTGTTGTGGAATATTTGTTTAACTAGGCAAAGATGTGTTACATTTGTTTATGCTGCATTTGTTTAGCTATGTAAAGATGTGTTGCATTTGTGTTAATAACATTAACCTGGGCTCGGAGAGGCAGGGTTAGCAATCAGTTGACAGGAAGTAGCAGGGAGGAGCACAGTGTGGGTTTTTTAGTTGGGGTGGTGTGGAAGGAGAGAGGCCCGCTAAGAGAGAAAGCTAGCCAGTTATTGCTCTAACTCCCTGAGCTCACAGGTTTTCACCCTAGCCTTTGAACCTCAAACTTTATTAGAACAATAGTGATAGCAATTTAGTTAAAGCTACCTTTAGGGGCAGCAATAGAGCCATTGTCTGGGGGAAACAGAATCCCCCACAGGCTACAGCCTTGGCCAGGCAGCTAGTAGTTAAAAGTGCAGCGCTGCGATGAAAGGGAAGACAGCGGCAGTGGGCACAGGACACTTGCTGGGGACAGCCTCAGCCCCGGCATAACTCCTAGGAAGCACAAGAGCCTACAAATCAACTGTCCTCTCTCCTGTATCTACCCAACATTCCAATTTTAAAGTCACAGGAAGAAGCTGTACCAACAATTCACCTTTCCTTTATTTTTTGAAAGTTGTTTCCCCCACTTTTTTCTTTTAAACTATACTTTAAAAAAATAAATTTATTTATTTATTTTATATCCCAGCCACAGTTTCCCCTCCCTTCTCTCAGTCCCTCTCTCCCATCCCCTCTCTGTTCCCACTCCCCCATCCACTCCTCCTCCATTAAACTATACTTTTAGTATTTTGACACACAAAACCTATAGTCAACATTATATGAATGTTGAAGTTTATATGAAGTAGGAAAAACTGAAAACACTTCTTTTAAAATCAGAAATTCACGGAGTGTCTCATCTTCTCTTCCTCAGCACAGTACTTAAAGTCTTAGCAAGAGCAATAAGACAAGAAATGAAAGGGACACACGAAAGTATAATTATATCCAGATGACAAGTTCCTATAGTTACAGGGTCCTGAACACTCCACCAGAAAACCCTTAGATATAATAATCATTCCCAGCAGAGTAGCAGATTTCAAAATTAATATACAAATCCTAGTAAATTTCCTATATAGTAATAACAAGTATGCCAAGAAAGAAATAAGGAAAAATTCAAATTCATATTGCTTCTAAAAAATCCCAAATATTCCTAGGGATAAACCTAACTAAGGACATGAAATACTTGCATAATCAAGACTTTAAAACATTTAAGAAATAAATTGAAGACATTAGAGGATGGAAAGATCTGTCTTGTTCGTGGATGAACAGAATATGTACTGTGATAATGGCTAAACTACTAAAAGCAACCTATAGATGCAACATAATCCCTGTAAAAGTACAACCTCCTTCACGGAACTCAAAAAACAACCCAAAAGTTCATGTGAAAGCACTCAACACCCGCAATAGCCAAAGCGACCCCCAGTAGAGCAACCTGGCAGATGCTTCTCAATGCCTGATGGAAATGATGCAGGGCTGGAGAGATGCCTCGGCAGTTAGGGATGCTTGCTGCTGCCCCAGAGGATCAGAGCTCAGTTCTCCGCACGCACACACACACACACACACACACACACACACACACACACACACACACACACACTTTCAAAAAGAAAATATACTGCAGAGCCATAGTAACACAAGCAGCATGGTTCTGGCACAAGAGCAGACATATAGACAGTGGAGCAGAGCAGAGGAGCTGGAGGTAAACTTACAGTCTACAGACACCCAATTGTTGACAAACGCCTTAAATATATACTGAATTCAAAAGATGTCACTGGGAAACTGGATTCCACAGGGAGAATGAAACTAGACCCAGAGTTCTCACCCTGCAGGAAATCAATTCTGAATGGACCAAAGACCTTAATACGAGCTTTCAACTTTGAGGCTTCTAGAGGAATACGGTTCAAGACACAACCATAGGCAAAGACTTTCTGAATAAGACTCCAGTGGCATGGGAAATAATCCCAATAATTTGAAAAATGGGATTGTGGGAAACAGCAAAGGAAACTCTTAGCAGAGTAAAGAGAGCCCACAGAAAGGAAGAAGACCTTTGCCAACTATATATCTTACAGGGGATTAATATCTAGAATCTATAATGACCTAAAAATTAAATACTCATAAATCTAAATTACCTAATAAATGGAAAAGTGAACAGAGAGTTCTCAAAAAACAAAAGGCAAATAGCCCATGAACATTTGAAAAATAGCCAAAATCTTTAGCTGTCAGGGAAATGCCTGTTAAAATGGCATGGTTTCTTCTCACCCAGTCAGAATGAGTCACCAGGAAAAGAAGTGGGCCCTGCAGAGATGGCTCAGGCGTTATAAGTGCTGCTGCTCTTGAGAGAACTGGGCTTCCATCACCAGCACCCACATGGTGGCTTGCAACTGCCTACAAATCCAGTTCCAAGGCATCTGATGCCATCTTTTGGCCTCCCTGGGCTCCTGCATGCATGTGGGACACAAACTCATGCAGGCAAAGGCACAAACATGTTAAATATGTCTTTTACAACAGAAAACAAATGCTGGCGGAGTTGCAGGCAGAGAAACCCTTAGATGCTGGTGGCGGGAGAATAAACTAGTGTTTGGCAAGCATGGGAATCTCCAAAAACTAAAAATAGAACCACCTTAATATCCAGCTACCTCACTCCTGGGGCACTTAACTCAAGGACTTTAGGTCAGTGTGACATAGAGATCCATGATTTTTGTTGCACATTTTACAACAGCTGGAATATGATTTATCCTGGAGGATCATCAATTGATAGAAATGTATTACATGAACTCAATGGCCTTTCATCCTGCCTTAACAAAATTACACAATTTTCAGGAAAATGAATAGAACAGGAGATTATGTTAAGCAAACAAGAGTCAGAAAGACAATACATTTTCTGTCATATGAGGAATTTAGTGTGTGTGTGTGTGTGTGTGCATGTGCACGCGCGCACATGCACGCACATGCATGTGTGTTCCCACATGAAATTGCCATGACGAAACTCATTTCATTATTTTGTACATTAACTAAAAAAGTTATTGAGAAAACGGCTTACTATTCTTAGGAAAGAAAAGGAAGCCAGGAAATCCTGTCCCAGCCAAGTCTGTCCCCATCACTGGAGCTTGAGCTGTGCTGGAGTGCTTTCCTATGATATGGGAGGCTGGCACAGCTAATGTGGAGGGGGGACAGAAGGACCAGTCTCGGTGAGGCAAAGCTTTGATGGGAGCTGGGGGTGACTTCGAGCAGAGCACCCAACCAGGGGAGGTCCGTAGCCCTTAGCGATTGCTCAGTAACTTTAAAAAAAAACTTTTATTGATTCTTTGTGGATTTCACACCACGCATTTCTATCCCACTTATCTCCCCATCCCCTTGCATCTGCCCTCTGCCCTGGCAACCTTCCCCCCAAAACAAAACCATATTTAAAAACAAAACCAAAAACCAAACAAAACAACAACAAAAAACCAAAACAAAGAAACAAACTGAGAGAGAGAGAGAGAGAGAGAGAGAGAGAGAGAGAGAGAGAGAGAGAGAGAAGAGAGAGAGAGAGAGAGAGAGAAGAATCTTGTGGAAGCTGTAGTGTGTCACATTGAATCACACAGTTTACGCTTTAGTTTATTCATCTTTACTTGCAAGTGTTCATTGCAGTGAGTCATTTTTCTGGCCTCTGGCTTCTGCGGCACCACTGAGAGTGGGCTTTCACTGGGGCTCCTTTTGGATATCTTGTTGTCGTCCTGTGTCATGGAGATCCTGCTGTTTTGGATTTGTAGGTTTGTCTTCTTCACATGCTCCAACAGTTCATAGATGAGGTGTTGGAGTGGGCCAACTCATAGCCCTGGTTCTAGGCCTGGGTGGTAACTGGGTTGGTCAGCCCACCAGCTTTCCCTTATCATGGCTATCCTGGAGAGCTCTACAACACTGCTTCACCTAGATCACCCAATGCAGCCTGCGGCAAGGGGCAGGGCCAGTTCTCCTGTTCTCAGGGCCTCAGATCCAGGTCACCCCACTCACAATGCCAGGGCCAGCTCCACTGGCAGGAGAGGGGCAGGACTTTCTTCTCTCCTGATTGCTGTAGTGTATCCAACGCAAGGGGTGGGGTTTAGCTCTCCTGCTGGCTAGCTCCCTCATGGCTAGCTCACCTGTGTCCCTGACAACAGGGTCAGCTCTGGTGTGCTGCCCAGATGGGGTGTAGAGCCCACTCTCGGTGCAGAGCTGCAGCCAGTGAGGGTCAGGGCTAGCTCTCCCGTTCTTGTGACCCCAGGGCCAGCTCTCTTACCTGCCGCAGGTGGTAATGGGGGAGGGGGGAGGGCATCTTTCTCTCATCCATGCCATCACATGGCAGATGACGGGGGGGGGGGGTGTGTTCAGCTCTCCTGCTCTCACGCCCTCAGGCTCACCTGTGTCCCCAACCACAGGGTTAGGTCTAGTGTGCTGCCCATGTGAGGTGCATGGGCCATGGACATCACCACAAACCCTAGCTGAAGTAGGACCATGGACCCAGACACGGCCCTTGGCAGCAGTTTGGCCTGGATGTCACCATGGCCCCAGTGGCAGTGTGGCCTTGGGCACCAACATGGTCTCAGGTGGCTGACCAGACCCTGGGCATCTGCAGAGTCCTTGGTGGTAACAGGAACCATAGACATCATCCCAGACCTGGCCGCTGTAGGGCCACAAACCCAGACACAGCCCTAGGCAGCAGCCCGGGCCTGGATGTCTTCATGGTCCCCTGTGGCAGCACTGGCCACTCAGATCAGTGTGGCCCCAGTGGCAGCATGGTCCTCAGACACGGACATGGTCTTAGGTGGCTGACCAGACCTACGTCATCCACACAGCCCTTGATGGTAACAGGAGCCATGGTCATCAACTCAGACCCTGGCTGCTGCAGGACCACAGACCCATGCATGTCCCTAGGCAGCAGCCTGGTCACTCAGATTGGCATGACCCCCATGGCAGCATGGCCCTCAGACATCAACATGCCCCAAGTGGTGGCCTAGACCTCTGGCTATGGACATCACACAGTTGCTCTTCAGGAAATGAAAGGCACCCATGGGACAAAAATGTTCTCACCTTCCCAAATAAAGACCATCCAAAATGAAATCAGAAGGTTTAATATGACACAATTAAATATATCTTTATATCACGCTGAGGATTTCCTTTAAACATAAGAAGTTACGATTAGGTATATGCTTCCTATATTCAGATAAATTCATTTCTATTGATTATTATTTAAATTCCAGGTAGGGGGAAATGACTTGGGAGAGAAGTATCGGAGATGTTAGGCAGGGATACAACACAATAGAGACATGACAGCACGGTGGCATCGTGTCCTGCTCGGCAGCCCACTTCCCCTGCCACGCTGCAACTTGAAATGTCAAGGCTGAGGGGGACGAAGTAGTGGGGACACAGGAGATGGGCGTCTTTCATACTCAACCCTACGAACTGGGGCTCACAGCAAGGTGCCCTACCTCTCTGGGCACTAGCGCCTGGCACTCTGGGCACTTGCACTTCCTGAAGTGGCTTCTTTCCTCTGTGTGGGGAGGCGGTAAGTACAATGTCCAAACGCTTTGGCAATTTGGATGATCCAGTGAACAGGCATTTCATTAAGTCATCTGGGAGGTGGGAGGAAACAGAGCCAAAGGGGCTTCCCAGCCTTCTTTCCAGG